GGGACGGGACGGGACGGGATGAGGAGGGATGGGACGGGATGGGATGGGATGGGATGGGATGGGATGGGATGGGATGGGATGGGATGGGATGGGATGGGATGGGATGGGACGGGACGGGACGGGACGGGACGGGACGGGATGGGATGGGATGGGATGGGATGGGATGGGATGGGATGGGATGGGATGCCATGAGCACATGCCATGCAGAAAACAAACCTTCATCTCTGTCTCGGAGCTGATGTAATGGAGTATTTTCATTCTTGGCCCTAAGGGAATTCCCATTTCTTTCAGGTTTTTCTCTGTGCACAAGAACTGGAAAATAAGCAAGGCTGGAGTTAAGACCAGGAGCAGAGGTGTGGTGAGGTGTCTGTTCTATGGACTGTGTTGCTCCTCAGAGATGGTTCATGTGTGACTCAGTACCAGAAGAGGTGCACTGGTGGGGAAGAAAAGCAAAGAAGAGCCACAAGACCCAGTAAAACAGGGAACTTCTTACCAATGCCTGCCTGTCCATTTTCTCCTTCTCAAAAACATCACAATACTCGGACAGCTCCAGCTTCTTCAGGATTTCTTTTACTTCCTCAATACCTCCCGTGCCTGAGGTTGTCCTGGACCCCTGTGAACAGATCCAGAAGGGATCATGCTTTCTGCTCACCAGTTTGCTCCTGTGCACTTTGTGTCCTCTGCCTCATCCCCACGCAGCTGCAGGAGAGGGGTCGGTGGCCTCCCGTACCTGTGCGCAGCGCTCGTCCTCCTCGGGATCAGCCTTCTGGTTCGTCAGGAGATCAAACAAAATGAGAGACCCTAGAAACCAGGCACGGGCAGAGCATCAGCATCTGCAGGGGAAGAGCCCGGGCCACCTCCTTTTTGGGATGGCAGAGCTGCACCCCAGGCTTTTTTACAGGCATGGAATGACAGAACAAGGGACAATGGCTTTAAACAGACAGAGGACAGGCTGGATCAGATGGCAGGAGGAAATCCTTTACTCAGTGCTGAAGCACTGGCACAGGCTGCCCAGACAAGCTGTGGCTGCCGCAGCCCTGGGAGCCGGGACGGGGCTTGGAGCAGCCTGGTCCCGCGGCAGGTGCTCCTTGTGGCCCCGGGCAGCCGCGGCCGTGCCCTCGCTGCGCCCTGGCACGCTGCAGCGCTCACCCAGGCTGTGCCCCGCGATGGACACCCCGCCCCTGAAGTGCGGGTTCCGCTGCAGGAAGAGCCGGTGCAGGCGGTTCATCTCCGAGGCCACCGTGTCCACGATGGTCTGGCAATAGGTGGAGCTGTTGTAGAAGAACACGTCCAGGATGGTGTCGTTGATGAAGTGACGCAGGCGGTTGATGCTGGGCAGCGTGATCCGCTCCAGGTCACTGCGGGCAAGGACACAGGGGGCTGCAGCTGGGGAAGCCAGGGAACCCCACCTCGTTCTAAAGCAAAGTGTGAGTTCAGGGGAGGATTGACACGGTCTCCAGCGAGCTGTGCTGTAATCCAGACCCTCAGCTCATGCCCAGACTGAAGGTAAAGCACAGCCTGTGCTCTTACAATCCAAGAATAGAGAGCCTGCCCCTTCTTCCCCAGGAGCCTGGCCTGCTTTCTGCCCTTGCTGGGGCACTGCAGAGCAGTGCTGCAGTGCAGGAACTGGGCACTGAGTTCTCAGAGGCTTCAGCAAGGTGTGGATGTCCACAGTCCCCGAGTTCAGCCAGGGAAGGCAGAGGTCTCTGTTCTCAGGATGCTGATCAGAGCAGGCGCCTGCTGTGTGCTGCAGAATGGCAGTGGGGAGGTGCTCTGGGGGTCCCTGTCTGTCCTGCTCACCCCTCCCCTAAAAACTCACAGCTTTCCCTCTGCTTTTCCAACACAAGAGTGGAGTTTCTGGGGCAGGAGGCTGCCTGTGCCCCTTGCCATGCCCCCGGCCCTGGGGCAGGGGCTGACACTTACACGTCCACGCCAGTGGAGTGCAGGGAGCTGTGCCAGTTCACGGGCAGGAACTCCACCCGCCCGACCTGCTGCTGCTCCTGCGCCTTCCTGAAGTGTGCTTGCAGCATGCTGAGGGAGACGTTCCTGAAATCATTCACTGCAGAACAGAAGAGCTCTCAGGGAGATGCACCAGGCTCTGGGGCCAGCCCGTGGCACCAACACCTCTTAATACGATGAAAGATCATTACAGGGAAATCCCACCGGGGTCTTTAATCTGCTGCTGCTCCCCTAAGTCCCTGAATCTTTAACTACAGATCAGGGGAGGCTCCATGTCCTGCCACGTGTGTTCACTGGATTTCACTGCCCCATCTCCACCTCCTTCACAGGGGCAGGGTTTTAATCTTCCAGTCAGGACAAGAAACTTTTAGAAATTTATAAAAAAAGTATAAAATAACTTTTAGGAGTTTATAAAATAACTTTTAGAAATTTATAAAAAATAAATGCCGTGAAGCAAAACTGACGATCAGCAGCTGCCTAAACCCTTTCAGAAGTGGGGATTTGGCAGTCAGTGAGCATTGTGTTCACCCTGCCCTCTGTCAGCAGCTCTGGCCTTGCAGCCTGCCAAGGCTGGGATGGTCTGAGGCAGCCCTGCTGGGGCTGGGATGGTCTGAGGCAGCCCTGCTGGGGCTGGGGTGGTCTGAGGCAGCCCTGCTGGGGCTGGGGTGGTCTGAGGCAGCCCTGCTGGGTCTGGGGTGGTCTGAGGCAGCCCTGCCGGGGATGGGATGGTCTGAGGCAGCCCTGCTGGGTCTGGGGTGGTCTGAGGCAGCCCTGCTGGGTCTGGGGTGGTCTGAGGCAGCCCTGCCGGGGCTGGGGTGGTCTGAGGCAGCCCTGCCGGGGCTGGGGTGGTCTGAGGCAGCCCTGCCGGGGCTGGGATGGTCTGAGGCAGCCCTGCCGGGGCTGGGGTGGTCTGAGGCAGCCCTGCTGGGGCTGGGGTGGTCTGAGGCAGCGTGCTGATGGTTTGGGCCCAGGTGAGGCTCCCCCAGCTCGGCACCTACCGCACTGCACGATGCTGCGGAAGCGGATGTCGCAGGCGGGGCCGATGCCGTGCACCACGAACACCAGGTGGTCGATCTGCAGCGGCTCTCCTGAGGAGGGGAGGCAGGCTGCTGAGGAGACAGCGCCCAGCAGGGACCAGAGCTGCTGGAGGCACCCCTGTGCAGGGCAGGAGCCTCCCACCCTCACCTCAGCCCATGAAAAGCCTCCTTAGTGCCTGATTTACACCTCAAGGCTGCTGGGATTTCTCACATTTCTTAGTTCTGTTCAGTTCAGCTGCCCTGGGATGGATCTGGACCAACAGGACAGCAGAGGAAGGGGTGGTGGCGTGTTCACAGGGAGGTGCAGGATTGGGAGGTCCCAGAGCAGCTGCCCCCTGCCCAGCCCACTCTGATGAACCCCATGGAGCTGCATCTCCCAGGCAGGCCCCAGGTGGAGTCAGGGCTTGTTCTCTACTTCCCACACACCTCAGATTGCATATGTGCCTTCCTGAGGGCACCCTTGGAAAATGGAGCAACTGCCTGATGTCCTCATGGGGACAGGTCCTGAGGCCTGACTGGGAGCTCAGGGCAGCTGGGAGGGACAGAGCTGACACTTGGCTGCAGAGATGGGGACAGCATGTGCCCCAGAGAGTCACCAGCACAAAGGTAAGTGACCAACCACTGTGTTCCCAGCAGGGAAAGAAACTCCCCTCCTGTACAAATCGAGACCTCAGGGGTCATTTCAGGCAGCACAGAGCCCCCGGAGCTCTGTCTCTGCACAGGAGCTGGAAGCTCACCACCCTCCCCTGGCTCTGCAGCTCGCTGGGGCTGGGGAGGTTTCTGAAACCATTTGGATCCTTTTGGCACAAAATGTTTTGAGGTGCATTTCACTTAAAGGATCACGGGAGCTTCCTTGTGAGTGATCAGGCTGGAAAGCTCTGCAGGGTTTTGGATGGGTGAGGGGAGAAGCAGGCTCACCACTGGGGATCTCCACAGCGATGTTGTCCACTCCTCTCTTCACCGTCCGGGGCCGGCCTTGTTCCGTGGGGGTGGAGACCCAGTCGTCAGAGCTGGCAACGGGATGGTAGTGAACCATCAGCTTGGGAACAAGAAGAGCCTGTCAGTGACCTGGGAGCAGGACAGCCACAGCAGAGTACTGAACCATCAGCTTGGGAACAAGAAGAGCCTGTCAGTGACCCGGGAGCAGGACAGCCACAGCAGAGTACTGAACCATCAGCTTGGGAACAAGAAGAGCCTGTCAGTGACCCAGGAGCAGGACAGCCACAGCAGAGTACTGAACCATCAGCTTGGGAACAAGAAGAGCCTGTCAGTGACCCAGGAGCAGGACAGCCACAGCAGCTGCCGAGTGACACGGCGTGGTATCAGACTGTGCTGGGCCCTGCCCTTTGTCCACAGAGGTGCTGGAAAGAAATGTGAAGCCGTTGGCAGGCTCAGCTGACACTGCCCTCTCCTCTGGCGCAGGCAGGTGAGTGGAATGGCTCTGGGACAAACCCATTTGAAGGGAGCAGCACAAAGAAACCCAAGGGTCCTGACTGGTCACCACAGAGACCACCCAGCCCTGCTCACCTTTGGGTTGTGCAGGATAATGACTTCTCTGTTGGGGGACTCCAGCTTCTTCTTCCACTCACCCAGGGTCACGGCAATCATGTAGGCTTCCTACAGAAGAGAACACCCACTGTGAGTCAGCTGGAAGTGTGCCCATCAATGTTCAACCTCTTGGGACATTCCCCACCCAATTTTCAGACTCTCTTATCAGTACTCCGCAAAAGAAGCAGAGAAATCAGCTGGAGGAGCAGCAGGGTCATCCCAGGATCACCTGCTGAGAGTGTTTAAGAGCTCCCCGCTTTGCCAGCAGCAGCATCAGACTTCCCCATCCCCTTAGAACTGGTTTTGGTACATCAGAATAGAGATATGGCAAAGATGGGTATTTTTATACGTCTGCCTATACATCTCTACATTTGCGTCATCCCAAAGGAAAGCCTGGCACTTTCAGGTGTGGTGGAAGGATGCACCGAGGCCGGACGAGGGCAGGGGAAGGGGAGGCCACGGCAGAGCTCACAGTTACATCAATCAGCTGCAGGAATGCCGTGCCAAAGCCTCTTTGGAGTTCACGTCCTCAGGCCTGCCTGTGGCCTTGTACGGGGTTTGGGACATCACAGGCAGTGTGTGACGAGGAGAAGCTGAGATGGAAACCAACAGAAAGGTGTGCTTACCTCCAGTTCCTCACTGAAGGACTCCGAGTAGGGAATGAACTTGTTGTCCTTGTCCCCCTTGTAGAACCAGGTGCAGCGCCGCACTTCGGCCGCCTCCTCCTCCCAGTACACGGCCACGCGCTGCCGCGCCCGCAGGTGCACGTCGTACCTGCCCCCCGAGGTGGGGACCACCACGCCATCCTGGTCCTTCCCTGTGGGAACAGGGCCTGCAGTCAATCCTGGCAGGCCTGGAATGCCAAGTTCCCGGAGGCTGCAGCACCACGGCCGGGCAGCTCAGAGCCACCGTGGCAGCAGATGCCAACGTCCTCTGTACCCGAGTTCAGAGAGCGCTGTCGGGTGAGACACCCCACGTCAGGCTTCCCCCAGAGGCAGAAGATGAAAACTTTACACTACACCTGTCCTTCTCTCCAGCTCAGGCACATGCTTACGTGGCCTCTCCCTGCCTGGCCAGGAGGGTAAAAGCGAAACTGAGGCCCTGTTAAGTGCATTGTGTAACAGTGGGGGTGCACCAGGGTCTCCTGTCTTTCAGGTGTTCCTCTCCGAAACAGAGAACTCTCTACAGACCCCAATACAGACCTCAAACTGTGAATTTCGCTGCCTGTGGGCTGGGCTGGTGGCACAGCACCCCGTGCCAGGCTGGGCCGGGCAGCAGCACCGGGGATGGGCAGCACAGCCTCTAATCTGAAAATTCCTGGGCGAGGGAGGATGGCAGCCGATCCTTGGGCAATCGGAGCTCTGCCTGTGGCAGCAGCAGGTGGCACAGATGGTGACATTTGGCACACAAGGGCCTCAGCACAGGGCTTGGAGCTGACCTCCAATCCTTGCTCTCATAGCAGGCACAGCTCTGTGCTGTGGGGATTCTCCCACTGGAATTCCTGCCATCCTGGCAGCGTTCTCCCCGCCTCACCAGAGGATGCTTTGCAGTATGATTATATATAATTTAGAGCACTATCAGTTGAATGGGGTCAGACCATTTGATGCATCCGAACAGCTCAGTTATTGGGAGCAGGCACATGGCCAAAAAAAGTCCCAAATTAAAACTCCTCCAGGGAAAACCTAGCATCCCAGGTGGAAGCCATGTGCGTGTCCAGGGACTTTTTCCCTGGTATCCAAGCACACAGCTGAAGCTCCCCCGCCAAGCCGAGCAGGCCCACTGCCCGGGGTGGCTCGGGAGCGGGGCCGCGGGACGGGAAGGCAGGACAGCGGCGGTGCCGGGGCCCGGCCGGTGCCGCCCTACCTGCGCCGTGCGCCTCCTCCAGCCGCTGCGAGTCCTGCGCGCTGAACGGCAGCCAGCGCTCCCGCGCCTCGGGCACCCGCCGGTAGAACCAGTGCGGCGCCACGGCCTCGTACCGCCCGCCGGGCTCCGGCTCCGCGGGCTCGGCGCCGGCCGGGGGCGGCCGCGGCGGCTCCTGCGCCGCCATGGGGCTGCCGCGGGCCGCGCCCGCTCCGCCGCACCGGCGGCTCCGCGCCCTGCGCCGCGAGCGGCCCGAGCGGCCCCGGCCCCGCTGCCCGGCGGCCGCCGCTGCGGCCCGGCTGGCAGCGCAGGCTCCGCTCCGGCCCCGCGACCGCCCAGCCCGGGGCGGTGCTGCCCGCGGCCCGCCCCCGCCGTCACGGCCGGGGCGGAGCGGGCATTGCCCGCAGTGCCCGCGGGAGCTCCGCAACCCTGCCCCTGATCCCCGCCCGCAGCCTCTGCCCTCAACCCCTCCCCGCAGCCCAGCGATTGCTGCCGCGATCCCTGCCCGGGACCTTTGCCTGTCATCCCTGCCTGTTATCCCTGCCACTGATCCCTGCCCGGGACCTTTGCCTGTCATCCCTGCCTGTTATC